AATCACGTGATTCGGTGTAATTTTAATTAGATTAATTTTTTATAAAGAAAGATTAATAGAAACTTTAAAATCATAATATAAGCGTATTTTTATCTGCTTTGCAAGTTTACTTAAGGAAAAAAAGTGGATTATGAATATTGTTTTTGACTTTACATATGAATGAACGAAACTTTGCCGATCATATCCAAAAATGGATAACAAAATTGAAAAAGTCAAATAAATCAAAAACAGCATTCAAAACCCTACTCTGCGCTCTAAGTAAACTTGCAGAGCAGGCAAAAATGCATTTAGGATATATGTTTAGAATGGTTGAATATATGGTAAAAAGTTTTATTTTATGAAAACAATTTTTTTCGAATTCACGTGATTTGCCCCTGCTTTAGATGACCTTCTAACAAGGAAATTTTTTGTCGATCCCGTATAGGATTGATCAGATATCCGGTCATCCATCCGGTCTATTTGACGGATTCATCTGATCAATCTGAATCTGCCTATTAGACGGATTGATCCTAGGATGACCGGATTGACCAGATTCGGAGCCTACCTCTAGCTTCTAGTGGCAAAGGTAATATTTATTAGTTTACTTAAAATATAAAATATTAAGAAGTTAACAAGAATGTGAATTAATTTAATTAAATATACTAATCATTTTTTTAATAAAAAGCTAAGCAACAGAAAAAAAATCCAATTCAACATGATCCTATTATTATTATTGATGAACCTGATAAATCAAGACAAGATCAGGAGGATAGTGAAATAAATTATACTGCAGATGTTAAAGATAACAACGTGAATAATACAAGTAAAACTGCACTACTGTTAAAAAAAATAATGGTAAGATGAAGGAAGCTTTTTGATCTCAATTTGTAAATATACTAATTAATTTTTTACATATGTGCCGATTTTTGGAATTAGTCTAAATTAAGATTTTTATAAAAATTTAATATTTTAGTAAGATTAACATTACACAAATCTAAATTAAATATGTGTTACATATTTACGTAACTCAGATTTATTAAAAAATAAAAAAAAATTTTTTTAATCAATATTCAAAAATAATGGTAATAACCACTTTTTTTTCCCCATCACTCCCATCACTTTTCCATCATTTTTCTATTCACTTTTATTAAATATGACAAAAAAGTTTATAAGCAAATATAGCAGTTATTTTTAAGTGGTAAGTAAAAGAAAAAACTTAATATTTTATATACATAGATAAGACATATTTTTTCATAATTTTTAGCATTACACAGGTCGAAATATGAAAAATCAGTCACCAATCAGTCATATGACTGATTGGTGACTGATTGGTTACCTATTAGTGACCGATTCTTTCAATCTGTTACCTATCGGTCACCAACCAGGCATAGATTGTCAATCAGTCACCAATTGGTCATATGACCGATTGGTGACTGATTGATTGCTGATTTGTTTACAATATTTGATTTACATATTAAAGTTAAAAAATTAGCATTATAGTCTTATAAAGCAAGTTAAATTATACTTAATCTGAACTTTTGAGTTTATTTTGATAAATATATTAAGTTTATTATTGACAATCAGTCACCAATCGGTCACCAATCTGACATAACCGATTGGTGACTGATTGGTTACTGATTGGTTTACAATATCTGATTTTTATATTAAAGTCAAAAAATTAGTATTATAGCTTTATAAAGCAAGTCAAGTTATGCTTAATCTGAGCTTTTGAGTTTGTTTTGATAAATATATTAAATTTACTATTGACAATCAGTCACCAATCGGTCACCAATCTGACATAACCGATTGGTGACTGATTTGTTACTGATTGGTTTGCAATATCTGATAGTTTTCAAGAATTCAGGATTTTTATTTATTCTTTAATATGAAAATCGGCTACCAAATGAATAGCCAATTAGT